AAGTAGGAAAATCTAACATTATATCTAATAAATCCATGTTAAATGACTTTTATTTTAGAGCACAATATTTCCTAAAAATTTCTTGCTTACAAAAAATATAATTTTAATGATCCATTAATGTCAAAACTAAAGTTAATTAATCCTAAAAAAGCCATATCTAAAACTAGAGAAAAAATGACCATTTTCCCTTTTTTAAATGTATAACCTCGATTAACTAAATTAAATGATACATAATTGCGAAATATTGATGATGAATGGAGATTATTGTATAACTTTAATAATCCACCTAACATAATAAATAATTTATGAGAATCCGATATTTTTTGGTTTAAATTGTCCAACTTGCAGATAGGTAATTAAGAGTTTCCATTTGTACATTTGGCAAATTTTGCTCTTGAATCATTATCTCTACCTCACTCTAATGCTGATTGTGAGCGTATTTCAGTAAAATTAATCTAATTAAAGTTAAGACTAGAAACCGATTAAACTCGGATACAATTCAAGCATGCTTATTTGCTTCATAGGAAATAAAAATAAATAATACTACTTATGTAGATTTTAAACCTTCTAAAAAAAAATGATTGATTGTATGACTACAAGTAATTTATATGACCCAAGTAGAAATGATGAGTTTAGTTTTGAAGTATAATATTAATATTATATGTTTGTCATGTTATATATTATATGAAATTCTATCTTTTACACAAAGAAAACGCACAAGAATTAACACTTAGTATTACATAAACAATTAATAAAAATTTATTCAATAGAATATACATATAAACTTAAATCACCAAAACGACATAATAATGACTGGCCCTATAATTAACACTTTTAATTGTATATAAAAAAAAGGCGCTCGCTCCGCTCACTAGCTAGCCAAATTTTTATTTTGTACACAGTACACACTAAGTCAAATCAAATTCAAAATGAAAAATTCAACATTCGTTGGTCATTTTAAAAATTGTTATTGATAACGAACATTTACAGTGCTATGCTCTTATCAGTCATATCTCTGTCATAGTTACATTACATTATACTGGTTACTACGGTCCACGACGTCAATAGCTGATCTTTTTATCGTGGTTTTTAAACTTACTTTATCGTTGAGATAACGAATATAGTTCCATAGAATAGAATAATAAATAATAATAATAATAACGTATTAATTAATATATTATTATGATATACCACAAATTTCTATTTTTATATTATGTAGTATATTCTAGAATAGTCAGTAGATTTAAGATTATATTGATTATTATAGAAAACCCGGCCCGCTTAGACCCGGCCACCGGCCCATTTGGCTACTTTAAAATCTAGGGTCGGGCAAATGCATACTCCTGCCCCCCCCCCAAATGACCAAATGACGCCCCTGACGACAACGCACTCTTCGCTCAACGGTCGTCCGCGCACTCCTTCTCTCTCTTTCCGTCACTCCCGACTGTACTCCCATCGCAAAGGCAACAGTGCCTGTACGTTTACAATATTTTCTTCTTCCTTTTTTTTTTTTTTTATAACAGTCATATATCGTTTCCTCATATTTAATTATTAAAAGTATTTTTAATTAATATTTTGTTACACTTTATTATTATAAAGGTTTAAATAATATTTTGTTGTATTTTATTTTTTTTAAATACTTATTTGATATTTTGTTACACTTAATTATTATAAATATTTAAATAATGTTTTTCTGTATTATATTTTTATAAAAACTTAGTTAATAGGTATTGTATTACACTATTACATTTAATTAATTATTATTATTAAGACTTAAATAATATTTTGTTGTATTTTATTGTTATGAATACCTCCATTTAATCACTCCCCTTCATCCCAATATGTCTTACCCATAGAGTAATTACTCTATGGTCCTACCAGATAGTACACTATTAGTACTGAGAGTAGCGAAGGAAAATTTTTTACAGTACATACAAAATGAACATTTTACGATAATTTTCTGAACATTCAATCTCTTTAACCTGGCAACACTGGCTGATACAACGCTGCTGCAGGCTAGTCGCTCACTGATACACGGTGTTCTGGTGGGAGCATAGACCTTAACTATAACCTAACCTATAATTTATTAAAACAGTGTTTAATTCTCATGGGTGATACAGGTGCCAAAGTCCATTCTATTACTTTTGGTGGAGCTTACAGTAATGGTAAAATGTGTTCAAATTTTGGTGCTTTATTTGATATAAATGATGAATTAAGTTTTATCTTTGAAAATCCTTACAATAAAGAACCTATATATATTTTTTATGATGCTTGCCATATGATTAAGTTGATTAGAAACACTTTGGGAGATATGGGGTGTCTATTTAATCAAGAAGGGGAAAAAATTAGTTGGGACCATATTAAAATGTTGTATTTCAAAGAAAAGAACGAGGGCTTAAAAGCAGCAACAAAATTGACAAATAAACATGTATACTATTATAACGAGAAAATGAATGTTAAGTTGGCTACACAATGGCCAACTTAAAATTAATAAAAATATGAATTTGAAAATCTTTTAAATTTCAAATTCAGACACCACAAAATACATTTGTAACAAATCAGAATTATTCCATTTCATTTTCGAACAAATATGCAATAGCATAAAGTCCCGACTTTCCTTTTAAGGATTATAATTATTAATTATTACAATAGTTATTTACTATTTTATTAGAACAATATTTTGTACTGGAGAATTGACATCACTGCATACTAGTTGTATCAAACCACACCACCCGCCCTCATCCCACCTGGATGCTACGTATATGAGTATAAGGTCTATGGGTGGGAGTGTTGATGGGACATTTTTTTTTTTCCTACAGTATTGTTTATCTATCTTGTTAGGTACTTAAGAGTTATTATCGATTATTACCGTTATGGGTATTGTTAAATTGAGATATCATTCCGTTTTGACATCTGGTTTTTACCGTTGGGTTTGATAAATTGCACAGTAGCAGTAAATTGAACGAATATTTAAACGGTAATAAGTCACAAACGGATTACTGAAATTAAATTCTTTAAACGTTAAAATTATTTTTTTTCGGTATGTTTATAAATTTTCGTTATAGAAAATAGGTATTGTCATTTGAAAATCAAAAGTTGATAGTGTTTTATCAAATAAGGGAGAAAGTTAAAATTATTAAAATTGTAACACAGTGTAAAATAGTAAAACCTAGAAAGTTAAAAAAAAAAAATTATTTTAAAATTCCTAATACTTCCCGAGATATTAACTGGTTCACGATAAAAAAATCACCCTGTATATATATTATATTACATGCTGTATTATACGATGCTCCTATGCAATGACCTATATTTTATATATCTGTAAGTGTCGTAATGACCTACGTATGTATGTCCGTAACACTACATTTGAAAACATTTCAAATTTTACACTAATTTAAATAACACAAAACGCTAAATTTTTCATAATGTTTCAATAACGGTAAGCGGAAAATTTTTTAAATGTTTAAATTTGTATAACGTTTATATGTTCCATAACGATGAATAATATATATTATTTTGATTGAAAACCCAGTCCATACTTAGTGAAAAATTAGATAAAACACAGCGAAACTTTCAAAACACAGATAGGTGTTAAAAAAGAACTACACAAAAGACCGTTCTAAGTAGATTCGGCATTAGATTAAAAAAAAAACCACAAATATTAAGGATTCACCTGATATAAATATTACCAAAAATTTTACTTATAAATTTTGAGCCTGAATTAAAGAAAAAATTTGAGTCGCCCCCCTTAGAAGTAAGTCAAAATACGTCCCTGTAATAGTAAGTACAAGTATAAATTATAAACAAGTATAAACCAATAAGTGTAGTCCGCCGAGTTATGAGTTCAACACGGTTACACACTATATACATATTAGTATTATTTACAATAGTATGTAAGGATTTTAGAGTTAGATTAATAACTGTTGAATATAATTTAATATTGTATAAAGAATCATCATATTGTGCAACAACATCGTTGCTATAAATAATGTGCAAAATCACGCCATATATTTATTAGCGAATCAGATATTGAGGCGTGAGACTTAGGTCAATAGGTCACTTGTATATAAGGCCGACTTTTAGCATACTGTCTGGACTACATTATAATATTACTTATGTGTAAGTCGTGTGTTTAGTAAATATTACTTATTACTAAAAACAGTGTAATCATTTTTGTCCAGATCGATCTACAAACATAATCCTAGATTCAACAATAACTTTATCAAGAATACTTATTACGGTATTACTGATATTTTAATTTTAACACTTTTTTATTTAACATCAACATAGTCAAATGATGGTAACAAATATAAGCGGAGCGTATATACTGAATGGCTGGATACATTTGGTTGCTAATACTGTTTCGCAACTTTTTCCTAATCAAGATTTTGCGATTCGCACGTGGTTTATATTACTTCTATTAATTTGTTTATAATTGTAAATACGTATTAACTATAAAATACGTATAAAAAAATATAATGTATAAATAGTACATTACACTAGAGTTGAAACTAAACATCTCAATAATATACAACTTCAAAAAAAAATTATAACGAAACTGAACATTATTATCTAACAACTAAAATAAAATAACAATATATTATTTACATAGGAAGTATGTAGTTAAATTTTGAATAGTTTGATTCATAACTCAGATTATTATTATCGTATTATAGTGATTTGACATGTTATATTGATAACAGCCCATAGAGTAACTCAATGTAACAGTCTAACATTATGATAGTGGTGAATAAATTACGCGCAAGCGCAGAATGCTTAAGGTGCATTCCAGTTTTTGGACCACGGATTAATATACTGGATACGCAACGAACCTGTGATAAGTGAAGCATTGACCTTTTCACATTGCGGCATAATTCTTAGCGCGATCTTGTGTAGTACCAATTCCCACGTTTTTTTAATTCGTGATTATCGAATTATTATATCACAAATTATATGAAAATATAGTAATATATTATGAAAAAAAGCTGTATTGTATAAGCACAATATAATAATAATAAACACGGATCAATATATTAATAACCACAAAGGTCTAAGATTATATTTAAATCAAATCTGTGGTAACAGTATAAACTAATAAGTCAAAGATAATAATACATGCATTTTAAAATGTTGACCTTGCATTAATCAAATTATTCAACAGACAACTGGCCAATATATTTTATTTTAATATCTTATTTTCAATCAATGTGCCGCCTCGATTAGATAAATGTTGCATTGAAAATTGTATGGGAAATCATAAATCTAGATTTAGTGTTCCAATAGCCTCCCATGAAAAATGGGAAAGAGTAATTGGTAAAACTTTAAATAAAAGGTCTAGGATTTGTGGTGATCACTTTCTTGAAGAAGATATAATTGACACCTGGGTATCAGGACAAGGGACTAGTAAGTACTCGGTAAGTATTAATTACAAATTACAATTTATAAGATTTATGTAAGTATGACTACTAATTTGAATCAATCTATTAAGTATTAACTAAATAATTAAATTAAAATCTGTGAAAATACAACTTAATATTTTATTCATTTAACTTTTAACATATCTCAAGAAATTTTTAAAAAAGCCTGGCTTAAAGAAAGGTGCTGTACCAATGGTAATGTTAAATTTGATAAAAAGTTGTTAAGAAAATCAAAATCAAAAGTTCAGTACCAATAGTACCATGTCAATTTTAGAAAATAAATCCTGGTCAGATGAAAATAGCTCATATGTAAATATACAATTTAAAATTAATTTGTGTATTAATAAATATTTGAAAAATGTATTTAATAAAATTGCACTTAGGTAAATGTTTCTATTCATAAAATGGATATTGATTCTTCTGTAGCAAGTGCTAGCCATCAAAGTACTTCATTTGTAGAGGTTAGTAATTGTAATGTAGCTTTTATTAAAATAACATACAAATATAAATAAATAAATATGTAAATACAAATAATATACAAATATGAATAGCTAATATCAATAATTATAATAACTAATAATAAATTGACACATACCTAAAATGTAATTTAATTATATTTAGGAGAATAATATGTCAATTTCTAAAACAGATAACAGTATGAGTAATATATACCATAGCAGATATGATAAAGTTAGTAGATACAAGCACCTCATTTATTTATAAAACATATTTATAAATGTTTGTAATTTTATAGGAGCCTATATTTTATGTCCTAGTATACAAGCAAAATAATGTTAAACTTCCCCCTAAATGGTTTAAGGATATTTCAATAAACAAGTTAAAAAGTTGACAATTTCATTTTTCAAACTATCAAATGATAATATAAATTACCAACATAGTATTGAGAAAGAATTAATAGTTACTCAAGGTAAGTAAAACTTGTTGCTATTAAACTAGCCATAAAACTAGCCATTGAAATGTGATACAAAAACCATGTTGAAAATATGCCCTAAGATTACAAGGCAACATATAGAATTAAACAATTTGACAAAAATGAAAGTAAAATTTGCTACACAGGTATTTTATTAATTTGTTTTTGTATAAACTTGTGTCTATAACTTCTTAATCAATATTATAAATAAATATTTTAATATGTAACTATAATTTTTATGTTATGCTATATATAAATATAGGTATTTAGTAATTCCATGGCAGTAGGCCTCCAATTTTACAGACAACAAAATATTATTGATCTTAAGAATTCATTGGAAACACAGAATTTTACACTTAGAATGAATGATTTGTTTGATGTGTTGAATAGAAAATTTCCAGCAGAAGGAATTAGGCAAAACAGCAATGATTTAGATGTTTTTTTATGTTGTATTGTTGCATGCTTGTGGCATTTGTGTTAGTTAAACATTTTATGATCACCTAATTTCCAAGTATCTATGTTTGTGTCAATTTCTTAATTTCTACTTATAGAAATCTGTGTTTATGTGTTTCAAATTTGTGTGATTAAATACTCTAAGTGTTAAATACATATTGTGTGAGGTAGGTATTTTTTACATTAAACTGAATATAGCTAATAGTGAAAAATATTATAATCTTATTTATTTTTGATGATTTTAAAACAAAATCTTCTATGGTTAGACGAATGGGAAAAAAATCTAGAAGATGGTCTTATGCAAGAAAAAGAATTCCTCACTAAAACTACTGCAGAATCATTAAGGCTAACACTAAAGTCTACTATTGATTTAGTATTATTTTTACTAGAAAATTGTAGCTTTACCTATGTTTTGACTTCAAAATTAAACCAAGATAGTTTAGAAGCTCACTATAATTATATATTATATTGTAAATTCTTAAATGCAATAAAAATTTATTTATAACATATCAGTGTATATTAATGCTATTCTTGAACTAGTTAATAATGTAAATATGTTAATTTAACATTTTTATTAATCATGTATAATTAATTGATACAAAATTTCAGAAATTTTTTGGTATAATTCAACAAACCTCTGGGCCAAATGACCATCCAACTACACCAACTTTCCTCCAACTTTACAGATTATTGTCTGTTTGATCAATAGTAAAACGACCAAAATATGGTAACTGTACAGTTATTGATGGTCCTTAATTTAATCTTGAATTATTTGTAATAATATTTGTGAGATAATTCTAAACATATTATCTACTTAAAAAATTTGATTTTGTTTATAGATAGTTTTTTTTCTGGTATTCAACCCTTAAGGTTGGTTTTGCAATTGGACCTGCACTCTCCACTCTTCTCTTTTCCTAGCTAACCTCTTCAGTTCGGCGTAGCTTGATAGTCCAGCATCGGAAATCATTTGTTTGATAAATTAAGTTCTTGGACGACCTCAGTCCCTATTACCTTCCATTTTCCTTTCTATTATTCTGTAGGTTAGCTGATTTTCGTGCCTCAATATGTGCCCAATCATGTTCCATTGTCTCACTCTGATGGTTCTGAGTATCTCTCTACCTTCATCTATTTCACTGAGTATGCTTTCTTTGGTATGGTGTTCTATCCACCTCACTCTCTGCATCTTTCTCCAACATCACATTTCAAAGCTATCAAGTGTTCGTTGTTCTGCCTTATACAGAATCCATGTTTCGCATCCATATAGTGCCACACTCCATACAGACATTTTAATGAAGCGTTTTCTCACTTTGATACTCATGTTATTGGAGCATAACAAATTTTTCTTATTCATAAATACTGACTTCACCAGTGTGATTCTGGATCTTATTTCCATGACACATCTTCCATCTTGGTTGATTAAACTGCCTAGGTATTTAAAATGTTCCTATAATATATATATTTAACTATAGATAGTTAAACGTATCATATTATATAATATATTTATTTTTAAGGTATTTGGCTAGAAGGCTTAGTAAGAAAACAAAATGTGAACTTTGTTTGTCAGGAATTAAAAATAATGAAAGTATTAATAACTTACCTGTAGCTAAGTTAACAAATCTTAAGTCTCGTGGTTATTTGACACAACCAGATAGTGGCTTTTATATTTTGCTAAGACAACTTGAAAATTAATTTGCTCTTAATGCTCAAAGCCCAAATGCTTTTGATGATACTATAAACCATTTTTTTAATAAGAATTATTTAATTCCTTTTCCTTGTGATGAACATGAACATGAAATAATTCAGTTTATTTTTGTGTCATATTTAACCATGCGAATGAGACAATTCACTTGGATGAGCAATAAACAAACAAAATTAACGAATAAAGTGAAGAAAAAATTGTCAAAATTAGTTCCTCATTAATTATTTTAAAACTCTAAAAAATTTTTGTAGTATTTAATATTTAGTTTGCTATTATGAAGAATATAAAAATTATAAACCAAGAGAACAAATTACTAATTACAAATCACACTATAAAAACTCAATTTTAACTTTTAAATTTAAATATGAACATAGAATAATGTAACGTATGAATAATTATAATATTATGGTATAGAATAATAAGTAATTTTTATGTGGAAACACTGCCTTAGTTCATATACAATGGATCACAGATCTATGTATATGATCTAAGCCGCAGTCGAAGGACTACGACTCAAAATAAACATTGATAAGATGTATCGTTGCGTATCCAATATATTAATCCGTGGTATGAACATTACAAATATTTAATTAATTTAATAATTAATTAAATAATAAATATTATTATATAATTATAATTAATTTAATTAATAATTCAAGTGTAAATTATATGATAACCAGGAATATGATAATAATATCAAATAACAAGTGTTAATAAAAGTTTGTATTAAAACCAAAAATTATTTATTGATGATTATTTTGAACGACATGTAATGAATTACTTATTTTTGTAAATAGTTAGTTTCTGAGTACTTAGTATATTATTTTTATTTATTAAGTATGTCCGGAGAGGAAGAAGTTTTATCGAAAAGAGTCACCAGTGTGCTGGAAACACATTTAGAAAGAGACAAGGTACTGAAAAATTAATTATGAAATTCATTTTTTTTATACGTGTAGAATTTATTATAATACTATAGGTATTTCCTTATATAAATATCTTATTTTAATATAGATTCAAATTTGTAGTGATCACCAGTGGCACAACTAGGAGGGTGCAAAAAGGTTTTTAGCATCCTCAAATTAAAATTAAGCACCCCTTGTTTTTTATATCCAACTATTATTTATATTTTAATCATTAATAAACAATATTGTATAATTAGGGTATTACTCTAACCTAACCTATTAGGGTATTTTAAGTGTAAAGATTGATGTATTAAAAGTTGAAATGCTGGTTGTTAATAATTGTTAATCACCTAACTTTACACTAGAAGATATGAAAGATAAAATGAAAAAAGATTCCTTCCCAAATATATATAAACTTTTGCCAATTGCAATCACAATTCCGGTAAGCTCTGCTACTTGCGAGAGAAATTTTTCGACAATCTGGTGGATTAAAAACTGGCTAAGATCAAGCATGCTTTAGCAAAAACTTACTAATTTATCTTTGTTGAGTATTGAAAAAGATTTATTAAATTAGCTAAATATCAAAACTATTTTGAATAAATATTGCATGAAATCCAGAAAAATTATGCCGATTTAAAATGTACCAATAATATATTATTTATTTACCAACAAGATTATGAAATTAAAATGTATTAAGATGTTACTGATATTGTAGTAAAAAAGAGTATTATAAATTTGTTTTTTTTATTTATGTGAAAACATGAAGTGTGTTAATGTATTTTAAAGTTTTGATATATGTATTATTGTGGGTTTAGGTGTGGGAGGCGAAACCCCTCACAGCTTTGTAATGCATTCACAGATTTAACTCTCCATGTTTTAGAGGTCTAGTTGTACCTATGGTGATAACTAAACATTTATTGGGTACACTTTAATTAACCTGGTATTTAACATTAAATAATTTTTTTAAATATATTTTATATTATAAATATATATTATGATAGTTATTATCAGGGATCGGGACTTATAGCACTCAAAATCATTAAAATAAGCACTTAAAAAACATTTAAAAATATCATTGTAAGCACTAAAATAAATAATTAAAAAATTTCAAATTAAGCAAAAATATTTATTAAAAAAAAAAAAAAAAACTATAAAATTCTAATAAAAAAATCAAACAAAATAAAAATAAATATCTTTGTTTACCCAACAACGATGCCTTAGACAGCGACGAACTATGTGATAACGTAGATAAGAATTATTTTTAATTTTAATTCTTTCAAAACGGCTTTGTAGGAGAAAACTATAAAAACGTAAAAAAAAACTGGTCAAATAACAAAAATAATCAGAAAAATTGGAAGTATGATTTTTTGAAAAATTGCTGAAAAAAGCAAAGAAAGGTACTTTCAAATTTTATAATTGTACGTGTTATAACTTAAAATACACTTCTATAGCACTCTGCTATATTTTAAGTCAATTCATAAAAATAAGCAAATGCTTTAACTCCTGAGCCCTAGTCATTATAATACTGCTTTATAGTTATAACATTGTGTTATTATGAGTAAGTAAACTTATTATTTATATTATAATATTAAATTTATTCTTTCAATAAATAAAGAAAAGTAAGTAATTTACCAGTTGTATGTATTACATTTTTAATTTTTAATTAGTTTATAATATAATATTGTAGTAAAAATAATATTGATGATATGAAATTAACATTTAAAGTTAAATATATTTTTTATTACTTATTTCAGGATGCACTAGAAGCATTAAAGGAAATATCAGAGTTTTATACTCAAAATACATTAGAATGTAGAAGAGGATTAAGGACTAAAATAGAAAAAAGAAGTATTGCATTAAATGAAGTAAGTAGGTTTAAGCTTTTTAATCTTAATCGTACCTACTACCAGTATGTAAATTGGGCTTAATAATATACATTTATTTTATAAAATTTATCAGAGACAATTGCATATTTAATTAATTTATAATTTAAATAGTATGGTCTTGAATTATTATTATTTTTTATTTTTCACAATGAATGCTTGTTTTGTACAGAATTTTCTGGCATCATTTGAAAAAGTCAAAAATGCAGTAAATATTTTACACGACAATGTAAATTCTTTGAACACAGCTGTTGTGTCCATGTCATCTCAATTAAAAGATACTAAAATTGACACTCAGAATTTAATTGAACTTACAAAACGATTACAACTTGAAAGGTATATCGAATCAAATAGAAAAAATCTACCTAATTTATAAATTTTACTTTCAAATAATTTTTAAGGAAAAATGTGTGTAATCAACAATTATTAGCAGATGCATACTCAAAAGCATTTCAGTTAAATCCTTCTGAGGTGGGTGTCCTAAGATCTAATGTTGTAACCCTCGAATTTTTTAAAGCTTTACGTAAAACCCAAAATATAAGCAATAATTGTAGAGTTCTGATGCAAACTGGTCATCAAACATCAGCACTTAGCTTAATGGAACAAATTTCTACTCATCAGGTAAAATAAATTTAAGCTTCATTTCTTAAATCTATATTTATTAAGCTTTTATTTGTAGCAAATGGCAATGGAAGTATTATACAGATGGAGTCAGTTAAATTGTAAGGATATAGAGTCTACTGCTACTGGTCCGCTGCTCGTTCTTGCCATGGAAGTGTTGCAAGATCGACCAGTATTGTTTAAGTAAATTTTTCTACATACTAATAAATAATAATCAACATCTTATATATTTAAGATATATTCTTGCAGGTATGTATTAGAAGAATACTGTACAGTAAGACAAGCTGCAATTGCTCAAAGATTCATTGATGCTCTTGCAGCAAATAATTCAAATGATACATCATTGAAAACATTTTCAAAAGATATACGACAGTACATAAATAATATGCTATCTTGGTTGATTGACCATGTTCCTATGGAAAGAAAATATCTGACTTATCTGTTGAAAAACTGTGATAAATTAAGTAAAAAATTGATTTATTTGTTTTTTATTCAAATTGAATAATTATTCCATTTGATTTTAACATAGATGTCGATGAAGAAATAGCAACATGTATGAGTAGTATAACTGAAAGCTTATGCAGCCCATTAGCATCTCGTGTAGAGAGTGTATTGCACATGAATGAAAATCCTATTGATATATATGGTGTTGCTAGTTCACTTAAATTTTATCTTCAAATTGTTATTAAAGTAAGTTTAAAATATGATGAAAGAAATTATTAAATGTTATAGGTTTATTATATTATGTTTATTACATTTGCTGCATATTTCATCAATTGTTTTTATTCCCTCTAAATATATTTATTTAGCAAAATTAATAATTTAAAAATTATGTGCACATCTTTACGGATTAACAAGAATTTAATATTTTTAATGCATAACAAAATATTAAAAACTGATGGAGCACATAAAATATCCACTTATTTTTAAAATTCTAAACTTATTTAGTTGTGTATAAGAAACACTATAGATACATAAGATACAATAATGTTTTGACAATTTTTTGTTCAGACAGTTCCCATTGGACAACTCTGTCAAACAATTGAGGAGTTGCATAAAACTATGGAATGTGTGTTTTTAAACAAATTGCAAAATTTGGTTAGAGATACTCTTTTAGAACGTATTGAAGCACCACCTTTAGATCTGTCTCCATCTCCTGGTATTGGTCAGTTGTTGAATATCCTTAGGCAAGTGTTATCAGTAGCTGCTGTTACAGAAGATAAACAAGAAGACACATCCATGGTAGAATGAATAATCAATAATACTATTAAAACTATTCATTTATTTAATGAAATTTAAATTTGTAATTGTAGATAGTTTCTTGTGTCTTAGAACCATTACTTCAAGCTATTAATTTGAGTGCTTCTAGACTAACGCCATTAGACATGGCCGTATACCGTCTAAATTGTTTGCATAACATACATGAGACATTAAAACAGTACCAATATGTTGAAGACAAACTTGAAAAATTACAAGTATGTTAAATAAAGTAATAAGATTAATTCTATTAATAATTAACAACTTATAAAAAATTACAACAAAGTATAAATCAGTATTAATTGATTGTTCATGGTTCCTCAGGCTCATATGACTGCACAAATAGAGACTGTATCTACTGAACAAGCCAATTATCTTGTTACACATTTAAACCTAGAGGACATCCAAACAATCTTACGAGGCCAAGGAGCAAACATTCCATTATCTCAGATCCAAGGAATGGAAGCAGAAAATTTGATAAATTTTTTGGTAATTTGATTATAACCACATTTATTCTGTGCTATAATACTAATTGTATGTCAAAAAACTTGGTATAACTAATTTTTATGAACTATTATGTTATATGAATAATTTAAATCTTATTCAATTTTATAGAGTAAGTTAGAAAGTATGTTGGTCATGCCTGATTCTATAGCAGTACCGCAAATTGGTTATCTAAAAAATCCTTTGCATCTAAATAAGATTAGACGACAATCAAATGAAGTGATTTCAGCTGTTTACAAACAACTTTATGACCATGTGCACGATCCTACCAATGAATATGATGATCCATCATCACTGATGCCAAGAACTCCTCAACTTGTGTATCAGATTTTAGTCAATGATGAAAAACCATCATAAAAATTAATTTAGTTATTATACTTACAATTTAATTATAAACATTTATTTATTACAAGTTACAAAATTAAAATATAAATTATAATATTTGATGGGATAATGAAAATAGTATCATTTTTCTAACAGTGTACCTCGAGCATGTCTTTTTATGTCTAATGCAATCTCTGGCTCAACAAATTCTACCACTTTACGTTTGTTCATGCCTTTCCTCTCCAGTTGTTTTTCAATTATTCTCGCATTGTTTGCATATGAATCTGCTACTTCTCTCTATATGTAAAATAAGAAAACAATTTAAACTAGTTCGTATATACTGTAGTAGAGCACATAATAACTCTTACCGCTTCTATTTCATCTTCTTCTTCATCAATAGTAGATACAGTTACTGAACTGAACTTGCCCATGTTTTTGGTATGTTTGGTAACCATAATCTTTTTCGGTTTCTCTACTGCTACTTGGTTATAAATATCCATTTTAGGACCCTCGCCAGTATTTTTCACCAGAGCTCCTTGTACAATGAAATATACATTTGTAGTTGGTTGATGTTTATAGTACAGGAACAAACCACACCTTTAAAAAAATAATAATAACTAATACTGTGAATTGTGTACCCTTTGCGTTAGGAATTCACTAACTTTTTGCACTTGGATCTGTATTGTTTTTCGATGCCTTCTTGTCGTTTCAAATAAATAATTTCATCTGGATCACAAGTTGTTTTGTTGGCGTGCTTAGCACCATCGACCACTCTAGCTCCATCTCGTTTGCGTAAAGGTAATTTTTCTAAAGCACAATCTAAATTTGAAAAACAAATAATTACAATATATCTTTGTGTAATGAAATGTGTTAGGTATGTCAAATATTTATTGTTGTGAAAAATGGATACACCATAAATATAGGATACACCATAATTATATGACACTTGAGAGAAATATATCAAAATTAATTTTTGTTTTTCAGAATCAAATTTGAAACAAATACTTTGATTACAAATAATTGTAATAGGTATTGCAATTGATTGCTTACCCAATATCAACGTCATCTGTCCGCATAAACAGTAATACGAGTGCAGTGGCTTTTCCTCGTTGTACTCTTCTTGATCTTTAGTGTCCGAACACACGATACTGCGAGAAACTACTTTGGGCATTTTTATTTTAACTATTATTTTAGTATACTCAACATTACAACTATTCTATTGAATCTGTACCTATAAAGTTTTAACATGTATCAACATGGATTTTATTTGTTATCACATCTCTTCGAAAATAGAGCTTGGGTCAGTTCTCCTCATTGATAAGAAATAAAAATCAAATATCCAAATTCATTGGTGCCAATGTCGAAAAAAATATTTACCATAAAATATAATAATAGACAGTAGTATGAATTCAGCTGTGCTATTAATATATATTAATAGTTGTATTTACGGTCTTAGAAAATCTAAGACCATGGTTGTATTACTCTGTAAGATATTCATGACTATGACTACTATCAATATTAATTATAGCTGATAATTGATAGGGAAAACATGGGTATTTTATATTACAGTTATTATGTTAAATATTTCATTGTTATTTCATCAATAATTTCTTATTCTAGTCACTAGTGTAAAAACTTGGTACACACATTTGTTTTTCAGACTACATACTTTAATTTTCAGAGTACACACTATATGTCAGGATAGACACTATTTTAGGCCCTGGTGCTTAGTATGATACAAACTTAACAAGAAGTTTGTTGGCAGAATCACTATAAAACATATTTTCATAAGCTCATGATTTATGTAATAACTTGTAAATACTGTCATTTTTTATTAAATAATCATTATACTACAGGATTTGAAAGATTATTCAGAGTTAAAAAAAAAATAACATTTTTTTCAAACCATTTTTTTAAAGATAGGTATTCAATAATTATAATTTTAAGTTTTCAATTTTATAGTTCTTCAATTAAAAAGACAATTTTTTATTAGAAAAACGGGTAAAATCAAATTTAATACATAAAAGAAACAATAATATCATAAATTACAATACAATTGTCATAAACATTAATCAAAATTAATATAATTTTGAAGATGGTAAAAAAAAAAATTAAAAAAAATAATAACTTCTCATTTAATATATAACTGTTTTACAGTTTTCATACAATTTAAAGTATGTCAAAACATTAATTTGCACTAATTTTTCTAATACTCATAAAATATATAGCAAAAAAATCCTTAAACATTGTTTCTTATTGTTAATGATATAAACTTATAATAATAGCTAATCAATGATAATTATATTAAATTATTTATGCATAAATAAAAAGTTATTAAACATAACAAAACACATAACAGTCTTGTTGTAGGGTTATACACTCGTTCACACATAAAAATAAAATGTGAAAATATAGGCATTATTACAACAGAATAGGTCATCAAGAAAAATATTAAGAACTTAAAAATTGTGATAGTATGTATTCGGTAAAAAATAAAAATAAATAATTGATCTTGTTTAAGTAGGTTCCTAAATAATATTAAATATTATTAGAAAAAAACATAACAAAGCATAAAAAAAGTTAAATTATAACTTAAGCTAAAAAAAAAAAATTATATACATATATTCAGGAAAGTTCAGAGTGTATTCAGTATCAATAAGTTTGACCCATTTTCAAGTCAAAATTTAATAATTGATAAATTGGAATAAAAAAATTAATTTATTATATTAAATTAATACATAGTAAGTAGTAGTCATAGATAATTTTTAATATTAGATCAGTGATTTTAAACTTAAATGGTGCAAGTAAATAAAAAACATTTAAAACGTTTTATTGGGTGAGAGCAGCAGTGTGTACATATTGCCTTGTTGATAATCTCTATTTGATAAGGTATAAAAAACTTTAGAAAAAATATTATTTGGAAATTATTGAACTCTGCCATAGATTTATATATATATATATATATATATATATATATATATATATAGTCACGGGACTGAATAAAATAAACAAGACTATTACATCAAATTATGAAACCAAATATGTAGTTAGAAACTAAGTGATCAACATTCAACCTTATATTTTTGTTTACTATATAATTATACTAAATATTAAAAAATTAACTAGAAAATGGATACAATCAAAAGTAAACTGAGTAAGTTGGCCTTTCTGCTGAATACATTTCTCTAGTGCAGTAATAATGTTAAACAAGTGAAATATATTGCACTAACAATGAGAAATAAAATATAATTTAAAATATGAAACATCATAGAGGGACAACAAATACATTTGATAGCAAACTAGTTGCTTTTTAAATTAATAAAACAACATTGAAGTGATAACAATCAGTGTCAAACATTTTTTAAACTAAAAATGAATATTTACACTCGGTGGGAAAATTGTTAAAAATAAAATTTAATGATATTTTCAAGTGAACTTAATATATGTTACATATGTCACATAGTTAAGCACCCAAATAAATGTAAAATATTAAATCATGTTATACAGATCTCTTATTAGGAATAATACAATCATATACATTTTTTTAATAATTTTATAAATCTCATTATTATTTCAAGAATTTTGGTCATTAAATAATTTGTCAAATCAATACTTAGAATAATTTAAAATTTTTCTTGGTATAAATAATGATTTTTAATTTCAAATAAAATTAAGGAAAACACCAATGTAACAATTAAATATAGTATCAATTTTCATTATAAAACATTTATGTGTCATAGAAATTTTGGTGCAAAAAGGATAATTGTTCCAAGAATAAAACTATACTTCTGTGTACAATTGATGATCAAAATAAAAAACTAATTTACTTATTTATCGAGTTTTCTTCTTCACTTGTTTAGCTAATTTTCTACGTTTCAATATCATATCATATAATGCATCTAAACCTTCCTGAAGGCCATCTCCAGTTATAGCACAAGCAGCTTGAATATGCCATAAATGATTTAGTTCATTTAGACCTAACAGTCTTTCTAATTCAGATGAATCTCGTGCTGCAGGCAAATCTTGTTTATTTGCTAAGACTAAAATTGGTACACCTGTATTTTCTGGAGCTCTAGCAGTGCGAGCTAGTTCCATTTTGGCTTCTTCCATCCGCTCTACATCTACACTGTCTACTACAAATAGTATACCATCAGTACACCTACAATTCAAATTAAAATTCATAAATAACTATAAGACAACAAGACATATTTAATTTATAATAAGAAATAATCTAGCTAAATTAATTTTTACCTTGTATAACTTTTCCACAAAGGTCTAAGTTTTTCTTGGCCACCAACATCCCATACAAGAAATGTTTGTCCTCTGGCTCTTCCAACAGTTCCCTTAACTTTTTCACAGTTAAACCCAATTGTAGGAACTGTGTTTAGATACTGGTTGAATTTAAGTCTATAGAGAGCTGTAGTCTTACCAGCACTATCTAGGCCCAACATGACCACATGCAAATGACTTTGCGGTGTAGGGAATGCCTCCAGTAAAGAAGCTGAACTCTTACCCATGTTGGCCCCCATTGTATGGTACTCAAATGCATAACACCCTAGAAAATAAATGTTTTAATATAAATAATAAAAATATATAAATTGAAATTTAAATATAATGATACAATTATTATTAATAATCAGTAAAATTAATAATTTATAAAAATCATTTAAAAAAATTTTCAATCTATACAATTATTTTTCTACTAATTCTACTTAATTCTACTAATTCTTACTAAGGAAAAATAATATTGACTGATAGTGTTCACAATTCTCAATAAAATGTATTAGATAACATGGTTTAATTCTAAGAAAAAACAATATTGTAATATATTATTTTACTAATTTGTAGATGTTCTATAAATATCAGATAATTAAATAGTTTAAACTAAAAAAAATATTTTTGAAAATTGATATAAATTAACAAACTTGAATCTTTTCATATTTACCTCTTAATATTGAATTATTAAGTATTAAGTTTCATACATGATAAATATTACATATACTAAAAATACAATGATTTAAAATAATAAATAGAACTTATTTGCTGATATCTCATAAAAAATAAATAAATTAAAAATTTAAACTAAAATAATAATACCAATAGATTAACTAATGAGTTATATCCCACACATAAATATGTATTTTAACTTAGAGCATCTACATTTAAAAGGAAAATCAATAAGTATAGCTACCTAACGTTACTACCTACCATTTCCTAACGTTATTATAAAATAACATATTTTTAGAAGAATATATAAAAAAAATATTTAAATTAGGTATTTATCACAAAACTGATTTAATTACCATAAAAATTACATTTTAATACAAATTTAGTACAATTAATCTTTACTTTAGTATTAAAGTATTTAAGGACCTAAATTGATTATTTAATAAGGTATAAATAAGAAAATGTACATTTAATTGAAGAAGTTGTAATTTGTAAATTTTTATTTACAATTGTTTATATTTTCAACTTAAGAGTATATAACATTTATCATTGCTAAAATGAATAAGTGAAAACTAAATGTGAAACATCAGTAAACAACATTTCTTGCATTTAAGATGTATAATATTGCATAAGTGCTCATAGAAAATTAAAAAATAAATCATGGAATTAAAAGCAATATTATATAATGCAGTTTTAAAATGTATAGATATCAACAACAATTGTGATAATCAGGGAATAGATTTTATAGCATTGTAAAGTACTGAAATATGCCCTATAAAATGACCAAAACAGAACTTTACAATATGCTCTAAAAACAAAAAAAAAAGAAATTTAAATTAAAATTAAATTTATTATTTTTTACTGACAGTTTATTTTATCTTTTTAATAAATATCTATAATATCATCTTATAATTATAGTCATAAAAAACTTATAATCACCTTCTACAGTTAACAGGTAAAAAAAAAAAATTGTGACAAAAACCAAAAATTGTGTGGAAATGTTTCTTATTATATCATACATAAATTTATACTATTTTTTATTCAATATAAATAATATTTTTGAAAAATATAAAATAAAGCACATTATTATGGGCACTAGTAAAAAATACCACCAACGTTTTGAAAATAATACTAAAATTTTAAATATTTCAATATAGAAAAAATAGCAAAATAAAATTTCATTTTTTCAGTCCTTGTTGAATAAAACAAATTTATGTCTGCATCCTATAACGATTAACAAATGCTATAAAACCTAAGCCCTGGTGATGATACAGATATTGTAACTTTTGTGGATAGACATATATCTTAAGTCAGTCTAATAGATAATATTAGCTTAGATCTCTACAACAACATTTATAATTAAAACTAATTGATAACTTTGTTTTTAATTTATTGGTGTTATTATATTGATTTTACATTGCTAGTAATATATTATCAATGGTAGTAGCCATATAAGAGTAAATGGACACATACAATTATATCAAATCCTATGTATAGATATATAAAGCTATTATTAAGATCGTATTAAAAAAAAAAATAAATGAAATTCTTTAATATTAATCATAATTAATTTTATTATTGTATTAATCATAGTTAGTTAATAATTATTATTTTATATTATTTGTACCAAGTCCTAATAAGAGTGTTTATCATTAATAAATAAATAAAAATATAGTTTTCTTCTCAATTTTTAAATTAAATTAATAAAAATATTTATTAGATTAAGTTTCTTCATTATTTTAAGCCTATCTGTATTTTTACGTTTTGTATTTTGAGAAAAGTCACATCAAATTTATCAAATGCAGTAAAAATACATAAAAAATGTATCATTAAGAGTTGTAGATTGCTGGCTCATCAGGGCACACTTCAATATTAAGATTATTTTTTATACATACAATTTGTAAATATAACAAAAAAAAATAGGTGTTATAATTACCAAATAGATTATTGATAACTTTCATAAAAAAAATGTGGTCCCTTTAAATTTTATAATATTAAACATTATTTATATAAATTATTTTGTAAATTAACCAATATACAATGAACACAATTATTTAGTTACTAATTTATAAATAAATATCTATATTTATGTAGACCTTTATGGTACTAAATAGTCGTATATTCAAATGAAAGGAACTTTACTAAAATAACTCTGGTTAACATCTAATTTAAATATGTTAAGCTAACTAACACAATTAATGATGATTTTACAAAAAAAAGAAATTAGAATTTAATCATTCAAAAACAGATGAAATAATTTTCTTAGATAGTAATTTTTTTAATAATTATCAAATATTTTTATTATATTTTATGAACGAATATTATATACATGAATTTCACAGATCATGAATATAAGAGCTAAATTTCATCAGAAGTATATATACATACAATAGATAACAAAACTAATACTACTAAACTTGATTAATATTATTATTATTAGTCATACAAATGTTGAAAATGCAAATTGTACATAAATAATTAAATGTTATTTTAAATTGAGTTTCAAACCTTTTGTGATGTCATAAATCTATTTATTAAATATGAATTGAAATAGGCTGATTATGGATATGAGTAATTTAACATACTAAACCTTTTCAAATGAATATTGATTTTAGTAAGTATTAAAATTACTTCTAAAACTTGTTATAATTCATAATTTAATAATTAATATGAAATATTTATATGAATTATAATAACTTAATTTTGATTAAAAATATATCTTCATTTATTTAGGGTATTTTTAATCAAATCTGACTTTGTTTACTACTATTTACATCTTAAACATTTAGTTTAATTTCACCACCACTTGTTGATGTTTATCAAATATAAAATTGACCAAAAATTGTTTAAAGCCAAAAAATGGTAAAGATGATCACAACTGCTCTGAATACTAAGCAGTAAAAGACTGAATCTCATAATTCTTAGCAACAATCATGAATAATAAGAACTCTTAGTTTATGGTAACAATAAAACAAGATGATAAAATGTACGGTAAAATTACCATTAAAGAGTAAAAAAACTTAAATATTATAATATACAACAAAAATTATTTAAAAAATGTTATGTAGTGGCTGTAAATGCAAGAATGAATAGATCAAAATTATAATAAAACCAAGTATACAGTACAAACGGATTAGTCTGGGAAATTACCTGGATTAAATGTGGTGTCCTGTTATGGGGCCGCATATTTGGCGACGGCCGCCGTGACGTTGGATGTCAACTGCATTCGGAAGGAATAGCTGAACGCTGTAGCCAATGATCAGGCCCCTGAATGACTGCCGTTTTCGTCGTATACTAACGCGCGGGAAAACGAACGGTTTGTGGCAGTACTGAACTGAATTCAGGGTAGTCGTTCAGAATGAGGGTCCCATCAACAGAAGTATGCGACCACTACTCACGCAAAAACCAAGACTGTTTGCCCGCGCGATGATCGTAAAGCCCACGCGAATATGTAAGGATAGAGTTAGGCAACGGCGCCTCCACGAAATCGTTTCCCAAAAAAACCTACCTTTTCTCGACCGAGACAGAAAATTCAGCGCCGATAAGTATTATTATTATTGTTGTCGTTGCTGTTGGAATCGCACACTATTGTTGTCTTACTCTTTATTACTCTTCGTCGACCTACACCATTCGAACCTACGGCGAACGACAACACGCACAAACGCATTCACACGCACACGCCTCACATCATCGTCATCAACATTCACGTCCTGAAGGCATCTCAGAAATATGTTGTTTTTTTTTTTTAATTTTTATTTTTCTTACCTGTTATTTGTTTACCAGCTGATTTCCATAATTCTTATCAACGATCAGTAACGGGCGCAATGTATGCCACCACTATTGCCGCCACTGCCATCCATAAATAAAAGACCACCATCCACCACAATGGACGCGCTAATGCACGATAAAATATAATATTGTACTTATTTCAGATTTCTGTTATGCAAAGGGCGCGTGATTGGTAAATTTACTATAGGACGCCACTGACTCTGCGTTTAGTTGAAAATCTTTTAGCCTTTCGCAAAATCACGAACCTCCAAAAGATTATTGTATTTATAGAAAAATAATGTATTTATTGATACATATGTAATTATGTATTACATATGTATATATATATATGAACGATCAAACCTGGTTTTGAATTAAAAGTGCATCTTTCATGTTATATCTACTCGTCACACGAAAATACGAGATTATAAATGACATTACATTCATAAAACAGTTCAGTTTTCACAAACAATTCTAATTTCTGAACTAATTTTGATTCCAAATATAACGAATAGATTTCCATTTTTATTTTTAAAAATCATCCTTTTATTTTGATTTCTTAACAAGTTAATTAATATAAATATAATGAACCTTGTGAGTTGTTTTACGATACAGTTTTCCTTGTTCAATACGTCCGTGCATAGCTTATAAGTTAAAATTAAATTAAAATAAATATAAATTCAATTCAATTAAATATAGGTAGTAAATAATAAATAAATAAAATTATAAAACAAAATCATATTACAATATTAATGATCGTTACAAGTAGGTATAAATTATAGTTAATTATATGTAATGAGTCCTGCAACACATATTTTTGTGAGATCGTAACACAGTAAACTTTTTTGAAGAAGTCGATGAGTTGCGATGCGATTCCCCTTGCGTCAATAGTTAAATCGGTAAACTTTAATTTTACTTTGATTTATTTGAATTCCATCAGAAATTCAGAATTGTTTGTACTTCTGTGGACTCCAATGCATTGTTGAGCTACAATGATTGTTATTTATACATTTATTTCAGTATTCTATAATCGAAATCTATACAATAATTTATATTTATTATCTATTATTACACTGCTTAGGACTGATAAGCGGCGGCCAAACGTTTGGTCTTTTATCAGGGTAGCACACACGATCTACATCATAGAAAAGAGATCTACATTTTCTTGATTTATTTTATTCTGTGCTTAGGGCTTTGATAACATTTATTTCAATCAAATTTTAATATAATTTCTATCACGAGTTCTGTACATTAATTTTTACAACTTCAATTTATATACTATGTAAATTGTAGTTATTATTGTTAAAATGTTATCATCTGTGATTAAGCGAGTATTTTTGCCAAACAGTATTTGCAATACAGTTAATCGTAAGCTATAACTAAAATTAATATTATTATCTAGTTGCTCCTTTTGTATTATAGATTATATTGTGTACAATTTTTAAAACAAATTACATTTTCTATGTTTAAATAGACTACTTAATTTTAAATACAATCACCTAGTTCAATACTTATGTTAAATTTTAGGCCCTGAAATTACTAAGTCATGTACTAGATATTTTAGTAGTCTATTTATTTCACCTACAAGAGTTTTGAAATTTGAACCAGTATGTGTTCAACAAATACGCTATGAAAGTTTTTTTAAAAAACGTAAGTTCTAAAGTATTTTTGATTGTAAATAAATAGTATTCTTTATTAATTTAATAATTTATTGTTCTTTGTAATATGTATTGGATATATATTTTTATTAATAGATACGGCTGAACACATATGGAAAAGTGTAACAAGTGTTAGTAATGCTGGTAAAAAACGTGGTCGTGGCAAAGGTGCTGGTAAAAAAAGAGCCAAAAATCTTAATAGAGGACAAGTTATTGGTGTTGGCAAGTATTTATAACAATCACAATGTTTTTTTATTTTTGTATCAACTTCTCATGTAAAACACTTATCTCTCTTCTATCATTAATTAATAAATTCATTTTATATGAATTATAAAATTTTTAAATTACTATTGATGAATTAATTGGTGCCAGTGTAGTGTGCGATCCACCGCTTACATGTGCTCTACCTGTGATCTACCTATTACTATCCAGTTCTTTATCGATAAAAAAAAGAGTTATCTATCTATATGCTACAGTTACATTTAGATCTGTATTGTTGGAATGTGTGGCGGAAAAGTGAACCAGATTTGTTCATTGCTTTTTTAGATGATATGCGTGCTACATTCATAAATAGCGACTAAAACACAACTTTTATTTTAAATATTTATTTAATGAAACTTATATTATGTGGATGTGATTTTGAAATTGTGATTTTTGAAATACATGTGAGCCTACCTCTTCATGGTGTATTTTGGGTAATGCTGCTAAGTAAGTGACTCACAAATCGCGTTCACCAAAAACAGGCTGGTAGATCACACTCTACACCAGAAACGAGCTGGTATATCGCACGCTATACTGACACCAATTAATTTATAATTTATAATTTATAATTTTTTTTATAATTCTTTATTCATTATTAACATACTTTTGTTAAAAGTTTTCTTTTTTTCTTTTTTCAATAATATATTTCTCAACTGATTCTCTGATTTTAATTTTTTAAATAAAAACATCCTATGTATACTGATATTAAATTTAGAAACTACGGCATAAGATTACTGTCATTTATGTATAATAGTTTAATGACAATTTAGAATTTTTTTTTCTGATAGGTTTCATTAATAATCTTATAATTTAATAATTTGCTTTTCATATTAGGTGTTGACAATATGATATGGCCTGGACTGAATGCTCCTATTATTAAAGGGAGAGATTTGATTAAGAGGACTCAATTACCACCTGATCCTGAAAGAGAATCTCGTCTTATTAAGCTCAGAGATTCATTGGGTACATTTAGATCAATAAGACTCTCTCCGACAGAACGTGGTTGGTCTGGAAACAAAATGCCTGGACGTAGTATAGGTCCACCACATTCTATAAATGAATGTCAGTACTGATATATTTGTAAAGTCTTAAAACAATATATTCTAATATGTCCTTAATTTACAGATAATTTTGATGGTTTTGATTCTAAAGTATTAGAATTCAAAACTGTGTTTTGTATGAAAGCTAATGCTGGTCGTTACAGAAGAATTAGTGTCGTTGCTGTGACTGGTAATAAAAATGGCTTAGCTGGTTTTGCTTTAGGAAAAGCAGCAGATTCAAAAGCTGCTTTAAGACGTGCTCAAAATAGAGCTGGTCAAAAGCTAATGTACATAGAACGATATAATAATCATACTGTGTATCATGATTTTTTTACTCAATTTTGTAATACTAAAATATTTGTGGAAAAAAGACCTGAAGGTTATGGCCTTAAATGTCATCGTGCAATACAAACAATTTGTGAAATGATTGGTATAACAGATTTGTATGCTAAAGTAGAAGGGTCTACCAATATTCAAAATTTAGTTAAAGCATTCTTTTTAGGGTTATTAAAACAAGTTAGTATGAAAGATACGATTACAAGATAAAGTTATTCATTTTTCAATAAAAATGTATACTATTGATTGTAGAAAACTCATCAACAATTGGCTGACGAAACAAAATATCATCTAGTAGAATTTAGAAGAGAAAATGATTATTTACCAGTAATAGTGGCATCTCCAACAGGTTCTGTTAATGAAAATCCAAAAGAAGCTCCAGATTTTTTGCAATATGTTATGGATAATAAAGTAAGGTTAAGAAAGAAGAAATTTCCACCTTTTTATACCAGAAAGACTCATTGGTACATAAAAGAGAAAAAGTTAGAAACTGTTAGAAATATAGACAAGGTATAGTTAACATTTATTAGTTTAAATAATTTTTAACTGTTATAATTTGTTATTACTAGGCAAAATTAAATTTATTGGTCGAATATGGAGAAATACGGAGTTTTTTGACAGATAAATATCCAGAATGTAGACCAATGCAAAAGAATTCAATTAAAAAGGAAGTCGATGAAACAGATCAATCATAAATTTATAGTATAAATTTTAAAATTATTGATAATTTGTTGATAAATATCATTTGAAAATTTATTTACAGTTTTAATAATCTATAAATATAAAAACTCAAATAATGAACCAGTGATTGTTACATCTTTTCATTTGAAAGTTGTTTTATAATTCTTTTATTATAGTATAATATATAATCAAATCAGTATCCATATTATTTCTATTATTAAGTTAAAGTTATCGTTGACTTAATTTTATGGTACTGCAGACTTTTCTCCAGCCCAAGCTCTTAAATCAATTTTTGGTATCGAAGAACTTGCACAAGCTACCCTTTGATTCCTGATGATCATAAAATAATTATTAGTCATAAAAAACTTATTTAATAATATTTTTTTAGATATAAAAAAAATGTACTTACAAAAATGATGGTTTTAAAAATGCTAATGGTTGAACAAGGGCAATATTATCAGAATTATCGCACAATAATCTTGCTAAGCTACTTTTTCTGAGTTCTTGTAGTTGTACTGAAATAATTAATTAATCAATCATAAATATATTTTTTAAGAATTTTTTAACATTAAACTTACCTTGATCAAATGAAGATGGATGTCCTCCTTCTTCGTAAAAAAATCGATCTCCACGTTTGAGTCTAGAAAATTGATCTCCAATAATGCACACAAAAGTTGGACCCACTAAAGCATCTTTCAATGGTCTTTCAGAAACTCCTCCAATATATAAATCAATTTCGTCAACTGAACCATATAATCTTGCTAGCCTAGTAATAGTCTGAAATAAGTATAACATTGTTAATATTGATAGATATATTCTATAAAATAATATAAGTACTTGTGGTTCCATAAACTCTTCCAAATCATTCCAGGATTTTGCTTTTCCATAACCGCATACTTCTCGCCATTCATTATAAGGTGGTAAACCGTGATCACGTCCTCTTTGCACATTTAATGCTACTAAATCAAGTCCAAAATTTGAACTCCCTTGGAATAAATGATCAGTGACCTAAGAACGAGATATTATGACAGAATTGATAATTAAGATCAATCAACTATCGCGCAACTAGATATTTTTTCTTGGTGGTGCTTCATTTCTACTCATTTTTGTGAATAAAATAATATAAATATGTAAATTACATTTAATGAATAAAAATCTAAATTTTAACATGGACGATATACTTAAACAATGTAATGGATAGCTAGTGTGCCTTGACACTAATACGAGTACTATATCCTTCCTTTGCTCTAGTTGCGCTAATGGTATACTTATAAAGACTTTGTAAAATACTTCTTTAGTAAAAAATCTATCAAAATTTTGAGAACTCTGGAAAGATAATCCTCTGATAAAGTCGTCTAAAGCTCCTTCTTTGTATAAACTAAATGGTGCAAAGTGTTGTTTGCTGAGTACAAGGTTCTCTCGGATGTTTCCAAATTTTCCATAACCACTAAAATTCGATTACAAACTTAACATTCTAATAAAACTTTCTAAATTCGAAAAATTTGAAACTTACTGAATATTGCCTTGAATAAGTGTATGACCGAATCGATAAGCAGCAGCTGCAAAAGAATTGGTTATTCCAGCATTTAGTTCAGGGTCGTAGTTTCTAGACCATCCACTTTCTAATGGCGATAATCCGAATCTTGCCATGTAACTTCTCCCTGAAACACGAAACTGTAAGCTCTATCCAAGATAAATCAAATTTAAACCATAAGTACCTAAAACAATGGGCAAAAATTCATTGTAAGTTATGTGTTGTATTTGAGCTATCACTATTCTTCGAGTTTCTTGGAATATCGCTTCGTCGCTCCAACGAGGATTAAGTCTGGATAGTTCGAAAGCAATACGATTGTGTTCACGCAACCAAATAGTGTGCACTAAAGCTAAATCGATTTGTTCATTAACACGTCCATCACCTGTACAAAATTATATAATTTTTATCGAAAGATATGTTTAAAAATCTTATGGTAAAACTATCTGTACAGGATGCTTTCACTCACCCGCTCTAAAACAAGCTGATCGTCCTGTATCGTCGGAACACTCTGAGGGATTTCCGGGTAAAAGTTGTTTTCCTCTGATATTTTGTGATAGTAGCATTCCTCCTCGAAATGATCTCAGACTTTGTTGAGTTGCCAGTGAAGATCCATAAATATTGGAACCATCGAGGTAAGCAGTGATTTGATTCATCTAATATTTAATAATAAATCCCATTAATATTACATTTTAATATTTTCGGCATCGTTTTTATTTGTTGTCGTTTTTACTTGTTCCCTGGGTCCGAAATTACATTCGGGACGTGGCGCGGGTAAGGATCTGACAAATTCCATGCATCTCTCACCAAACGGTGCAAACATTTGATCGTTTCGAGGAATTTCTATTTGAAAACAATCGGGGTGTCGTAGAGAATTTTCAATTTCTTTCCCATTTCTGCAGCATGATATTCCACTTCCCATTTGACCTCTACTTATAGGCGTATGTGTCGTATCGTGGTCTAAGAACTGTCCCCATTGCATTAATAACATGGTGTAATTTTCAGATGGCGAGTCTACGTCCTGCGTGAATGTAACGCTTACTTGCCTTGCACTTGGCAATGGTGAACCGTTGGCTGTTCTTGACCTTGGTGAGTTCACACCTAAATCGTGTATAATAAGTTTTATACAAAAGTAATAAACTAATATAATAATAATTATATTTTAAATCACTACAAATTATTTTATATACTTTTTAACGACATAGCATTTGATAAAAGTAAAAAAAATTCATAATTTGTTCTAAGAGCTATCAAGAGGTCATAAATATAAAGTATAATATTTCAGTTAAACCTGTATGGTTTTATTATTTATTATGTTTTATTATACCTTTATAAATTTTGATAGTTGTATTTATATACAATCTGTTCTATTGATCCGAATTAAATGTTTGATTATTTAAATTCTTTAAATTCAGATGCAGGGACAAAGCCTGATAATATACCAGCAGTTTTTTTTTAAAATTGTGCAGTTTTATACTTATAAAGCTGCTTCATTTTATATTCAATAAATCTTTAAGTCTAGGATATTTTCCAGATTTGTTAAAAAAATCTTTTGTCACTCCCAACCATAAAGTAGGTGATAAGCATAATATTACTAATTACAGGCTTATTTAAAAAATGTCTATTACTTCCAAAACATTTGAAGCTCTAATAACCAAAAAAATTTCCTTAATTGTTTCATTTATTTTCCGATAACAACATGGATGTCTGTTTCCACTATTATTCTTCTCTACCAGTCCAAAATATTTCAAGCTTTAAATGGTCATGTACAGTTAAATTCTGCCTATACTGATTTTCAGTAAGCTTTTGATAAAGTTCAACATAACTTACTTCATAATAAGGTATCTGCATTTGGTATTCATGGACACTTGAATTGGTTAAGGTCCTATTTAAATTGCCATACACAAGCGGTGAAAGTGACACATGTCTCAACCTATTTCCAAGTAAGTTTTGAGGTACCAAAAAGTTTCCATTTAGGTCCCCTATTATTTATACTTTTTATAAATGATTTGCCATCTATTTTTGATAACACAGTTAATAAACTACTATTTGAGGATTGTGCTAAATTACTTTTAATAATAACTTCACCATCTGATGTATTAAATTTACAAGCTAATTTGAATAAATTTGTAATATGAAGTAATCAAAATTATTGACCGTTAAATATAAATAAATGTAATAGCATTACATTATCACGTACAAAAATACTATTAAATATGACTATAAAATAGGAAACATTTCTGTCTCAAGAGTTATTTCAATTAGAGATTTAGACATTATTTTTAATTGTGACTCATTATTTACATCTCACATAAATACTTGTATTAAAAAATCTCTTAAGATGTTAGACTTTATTAACTGAAATACACCTAATTTTAAAAATATTAAAGCTTTGGAAACTTTATTTTTCTCACTTATAAGATCTCATCTTCAGTTTGGGTCAATAGTTTGATTACCAAGTACTATCTTATTCAATAACCTTATTAAAAATGTACAGCTTAAATTTCTAAATTGATTGTGTTTCAAATTAAATTTGCCGTATATTTCAAAGAATTCATAAAATGGTAGAATCAGAGGATTTTATATCTTGTGAGGTAAGAAGAAAGGTACCTATCTGATCTAATGTTAATTTATGACATATTGAATGATAAAATATTTTCCCCAAATTTGCCTTTACGATTGGTTTTAACATAACAAATCGTAGTTTTAGGAAAGTAAACTTATTTCATATACCATTTTATACAATTTTTTTTATATGATTTTTTCATTATCTTCCGTAATTTTTAATAGAAATGTGTATTTAGCGTTAAATTCAATCGAAAATTAAAAGTATTATTATCGTTCTATTATATTGATTAAGATTTATTTTAATTTTATGTATTATATATACATATTTTTATTCCCTTTTAATGTCACTATCATTATCATTTTAATTTATATTTAAATACTTGTATCAAAGTTCACAAAAAAAAAAAAAAACATGTTATTAGTTAATCAACAATATTGTTAACATAGTTGTAAATCATACTTGCTGTATTCATATTTTATAAAGGGTCATACCTGTTTATTACATAAATAAACAAAATAAATATTGTTTACAAGATATAAAAAAGTAATATTTATAACAATGGCTATAGTGGCAGTAATTGAGAAAAAAATTTGGAAGGTGTGTACTCAGGTCTTAGTATTAGAATATATTATTGTATATATAACTATTCATAATTTGAAAATAATCAATTTTATATTCGTGGTATGTTATAAGAAACATATTTATTTTTTATATCGCCTATAACATTATTTAAGCTACAGGCAAAATTATTACTCTATGCGATAAAATTCCAAGAGAGCTAGTTCATGCTTTACCATTATCACCCTAAAATATTATGCTATTGGCTAAAGGTAAAATATAAGTGGTCACTAAATTAAAAATTAATACGTATCGAGCGAATTTATAATTTTGTATTCAAATTCCAGAAAATAAATTTATTTATATAACTAACCATCTCCATATTTTGGAGGTAGAATTCTTTGTAATGCCGTACTGGCTCGTCCCCAAAGTTCGTGGTTGATATTATTACAAGATCCATCAGTTGACCTATACTTATGAGGTTGACAAAATGATGTTCTGGGACATGTATCACCAAGTACTGTTTCTAGAATACTGAAACTTGGTAAAGCAAACGTTCCTTGATCACGAGTCAAATTAAAGCTGTAATAATAAAATACAAATAATCTTAAATATAACTCAAAATTATAAAATTAATAAATTAATATAATTATTCTAGTTTATTAAATATTATAATTAGTAAAAAGGCACAAATTATTTTGATAGTTAAATTGTATATGGTTTATAGATCATAAGTACACCTACATGCAATGGTGTACATTCAATTTTCTTATATGGGGATTTTATAACCTACATATTTTTTAAATCAATATCAAACGTCTGTTATTGTGCCTCCTCGGATGAAAAATTAATGTTTTTGTGATTTCATCTTAATTAACAAATACTGCATTTTATACACACGTTAAAATATTCATAATATGCATATTTTTCATTTTAATTATTTCAAAAATGGATGTTTTTTTTTTATTATTTTTAGTTCAAGGGAATTCATACCGAATCCTCCCCACATTTTTACGCCACTACTTACATGTTACATTAAAATTTTTTTGATCCAATCAATCTAAAATTGGTATTAAAATTAGTTTTCCTAGCATACAAACTATTAAGACCAAAATTACAAACCGTTAAACTTAAGCTTTAATATTTAATAAAAATAAAAAAAGACATGTATAAAAATGTGCTCACAGTATTAACAACTAATATATATATATTGTTATATGTTATATATGTTGCAAAGTATACGATTTGGGCATTTCATACATTGTCCGGACAGTATATAAAATGCCCTTCGTATATTGATATAGATAACGGATGATATGATTTAATGAAATATGATAAATCGTAAAACATAGTTAAAATAAAGTCAAATTACTATCTAAAAATTATTATCTGTAACTAGTTTTTTTGTTCTTATCGTATTTTTACAATAGGGATGTCAGCTTGTGAACATATTATACGCGTGTACGTGACATAATATATTATTACTAAATTTACTGATTTATAAGTTATATTACATGAAGTTGTAGTGATTATCGTGCAGTCGGCCTTTTACTTATTCTCAAAAATGAACTATTTAGTAACCGTGAATCGTTTGTATAGTACAGGTTAATTCATTCAGTGCGTACCTAACTACTTATTCGAATATGGAAAAGTTTAATGATGATTTAAACAATTTGTTAAAAAAAAAAAAGGTTCAAAAACTTCATTTTTTACCAAATTAAAATTTGATCAATTAATTTTACATAAAAATCAATTAAAAAACTATTCAAAGAAAAAGGAACCGAATGATTATAAACTTTTAAAAAAATATGATGTGTTAAAAGTTTCTGATGTTAATAAGTTAATTGTACCAGTATCTGAAAACAATGAAATTAAATATTATGTACATAATGAAGAGTTATTTGATGTTATACATAAGGTTCATTTAGCGATTGGACATGGTGGACGAAACAGGATGGAACACGAGGTAAATACAAAATATAAAAATATCACCAGAGATATGATTATGCTATATTTAAATAGTTGCGAATCATGTAAAATAAATGGGAGCACAGCCAAGAAAGGATTGGTGGTACAATTAATTAAATCTACTGAGATGAATTAATCAATAATATAAATACATGCCATTATTCATTGATTTATCATATTTCATTAAATCATATCATCTGTTATTTATATTGCCCAATATACGAAGGACATTTTATATACTGTCCGGACAATGTATAAAATGCCCAAATTGTATACTTTGTACATAACATATATATATATATATCATACAACATAATAAGCTTACAATGGAATATCTTGCAAGAAAAGTTGATTAGGGAATTTTAAATCGTCCATTATTGAGAAGAATCAAGAGTTTTCTGAAATATTAAAAATGTTCATGGGAAAATTAAGTATAGAGGAGAATGGGGGAGCTGATCAGTGGAAAATACCGGTTGCTGATGTTTCTGAAAAATTTTTTTACTTAGAATTTTATAAACTTAGGGAAATAAATATTGATATTGTAATTTAATATTAGTGTTCCCAAGATTATCAAATAATTATTACACCGTCTAAAATACGCAGATTTGGGTAAAATGCTTTTTAAAAGTATTTAGAATAAATACTCGAATACTTACAAAAAATAGTATTTTGAATATGTATTTAAATACTTTATGCAAATTGTATTCCGAATACATTATTTAGAATATTTCAAAAGTATTCTGATTACTTTTAAAATACTTCTAGTTTTCATACTATAAAAATAATAGATATTCACTCAACAGAAATTTTTTGATTTAAATTTCAAATAATATTGAATATTTTTAAATATCACGAAGACTAAACAATCAATTTAGTAAGAACCTACTTATTTTTATTTTTTTTAAAACTAATTTTTTAATATTTTATTAAATATCAATTAACCTACAAATAAAGAGACTGAAAATTAAAGTATTAAGTTAGTTTTATAATTAAAAGTATTATGTATAACACAAATAAAATAAACTAGTTTTTTTTTTATACAAATCACACTATTAAGTCTAAAATATATACAAGGTACATAAAAACGACTACACGGCTGTAATAAAGTTAAATAAAGTAATTAATTTTACTGAAATTGATGTTATATTTAAAAAAAAAATTGTTGAATTATTTATATACTTATTTTTGTATGGAGTTTTGGTATGCCTGCTATAGTCCCAACATAAGGGAATATCGGTCATTTACGGGTTTTTAAAAAACTTTTTCTCTGTGAAATATTATTTTTTGGAGTTTGAACTTATTCATAGTGTAACCAACAAGTCAATGCTTCGATTCACGATGTAACAATTAAGATTCGATTATTAATTTCAAAGAAATTACATTTCTTGTTTAGGTTAGACTATTAGTACCTACTATGTATATTACTAATTTTTTAATAATATCTAATAGTATATTACTATTAGTACTATATTAATACTAATATACTATCAGTATTTCCCCATTCTCCCCTATCTACTTTATACGACTTAATTACTATGTCACGCGTATAATATTCGGAATTTTTTTTTTTTAGGCTTATCAGTAGCATATTAAGATATTACAAAGATAACACAGAAACTAAATAAATTCGTTGTGGACTGTAAAGAATAAAAGAGTTTTTATTTTTAATTGTTTAAAATGAATACCAAATGTTAAAAGTCCTTCAGGTGTTTTCTTTTAATTATAGTACGAATGGAACTTGTGATATTTTATTATTACATAGTAGATGTTAGTCAGGGTTAAGAGGCGTAACAATGCATTTTCATCAAATTATTCAATTATTGTTTTATACATAATTCATTAGTGAACAGATTGCTCTCCCAATATAATAAATATATATTAAAAATTCGTTTGTCATATGAATAAACTTGTCCTATTCAACAAGAAATAATTTACTATTTTTAATTCTAGAATAGGGAAGTAATTATAAGTAGTACTTTAAATATTCGAGGATTTTTATGAGTTATTAAAATTTTTTTTTTCCTTTTTCTTTTAGAATTTAGAAACATTTAAATGATCACCAAATATATGTATCTATAACGTATGAGTAATTCTCGTAATATAACTAGTAATAATGTCATAAGAAGTGCCTACTCACTCGTTAACGAGACCCACGCTTGCGTCCACTGATTTTTGTGCCTGTTCTCCTTGGGACAGCGTTTCGTTAGTGGTTGGAAAAAGCTCTTGGTGCCAAGCTGCGGCACTGCCCGAGGGCACAAGTATCCGTTTAGTGAACAAAGAAGTAACCAAGACTCGTCGTTCATTTAATCGTTGCAATGCGTTCGTTGCAGCTATATTTAACTGTGCAGGAGTAAACGGAGGTATTTTCACGGATGGTGGTGGTGGAGCTCTAATCACTCCTGTAGTCGTTGTTTGTTGATTAACTAAACAAAATTCCATAAAAGTTAAAAAACTATCACTGCTTAGCTATAACCCGGTATTGAATCACTTATATTTATACATATCATGTACACCTGTGAGACATTACATATGTAAACCTCATTAGCATGCAAAACCCGTTTAAGACCAGTTTTTATGAATTATTGCTATGGCAATCAGCAAATTGAAGATCAATGACTCCTAAATGTATTATAGGTATAAAAACTGTTTTGAGTTTTAGATTCATAGCCTTTTATTTCAATTCTACTTAACACACCCACCTAGACAGCAAGTGACTGATCAATATCGTTATTATAGATGAAACATAAGAAATTTATCTATTATAAGATTATCTGTATGCATACATGAACCTCAATTTTATGTTTGTATAGGTTCTTGAGAAATATAAAATTCTATTTTTAAATAAAACTTGATTCTAGACAATTAATTATTATATATTTGTCACCCTCATGGGTCCTTGAAACTTGATAAATATTTACATATTTGTCATAGAATGCGCAGACCTTGCCATTGTCAATGAAATTTAAGAATTCGAAGCATATAATCGCAAGAAATAATGATTCTGCATTTAAGTATTTTTAGTAAATTTTATGGATGTTAACTGACAGATTTAGGATTTATGTAAAATACATATCAAAAATATTTTATATTATAATTACTTTTATAGAAAAATTTGTTTTAATGACCTTAAATTTCTCAAAATAATATAAATAAAATATGCCTTATATATAATTCTAGCTATAACTGTAACTTGTAGTTATATAACTCTAAATATTATATATAAAAAAATTATAGATGCTATTATAGTCATTTAATTTTAACAAATTAATATATCATCATATTGGTAAAAAGTTTTAATTTTACATGCGAAGTATATCTGTAAAATATTTTAATCAACAAAATATAAATTCTTATTTTATTAAATTAATTTAGGTTTAGTTTGTATACATTAATCGTTTTTAATAACAATTAGTGAAATCTTTTACTATTTAAGTTACTAATTTTGAACGAAAAGAATAATAGTTAATTTATTTTTTATGTTATTATTTAATTATTAAATATTGAATTTAAATAAATGATAAATAATAATTTTATAAATAAAATATAGTATACAATAAATTATAATGACTATAATGCATGTCATGTTCTAATGTAAACGAGAAAACTAAAGAGTAGTAATTTGAAATATATATTCTAAGACTTGAAGGAAATAAACTTGCTACGTTCCTAAAGAACTTATCGTTACTTTCCGGTTGTTTTATTTTTATGGTTTAGAATTATTAAAATTTCTAACACATAAATTGTATAACAAATGACACCTCTTATGTAATCTAAGAATATTATATTTTAAAGTGTACTTAAAAAAATAGAAAAATAGTTTACAATTATAATTATAAATAATAAAGTTAGGTTTTATTTTTTAATTATTTAAAAAAATTACCTTGTAGACTTGTAATGTTTAATACAAATATAAATGTACCTATTTTAAATGTTCCGATTTTTGAAATTATTATTGATCATTAAAAAATATGTTTTATTGTTTATTTAAAAAACCTGATTTTTAACTATAAATTAAACTAAATTTCTACTCATAAAAATAAATTGAAGTTGTTTAAGTTTATAAATATAAAATGCCATGAAAAGTAAATTAATATAATCAAATTTCAATTTTTGTTCTTGACCGTAGAGTTGCTTGTTGTTCATATGTACATGCATAAAATGAAATATATTAAGACAAAAACCCTATTATTCTATTCAACACAAACATGCTTATGTATAATATATTATATATTTGAAAATTGAAAATAAAATGAAAAATTTACCAGGATTGCGGATTTTAGTGGGGCAGCACACTCCGAATTCATTAACGGCTAATTTACACGGTTGTTTTTTCAATTCGGGGAGCTCAGCGTAAAATGACAAACAACTAACCAGAGGGCGACACGTTCCCGAATCGCCATTAACTGTCTTACACGATCCTTCGGAATTGGGCGTTTTCCTGATGGATGGCTCAACTCGTGAGGGTTGTTGGAATTGCGGTGGCAAAACCTCTCGTGGGGGCTGTTGCTGGGACTGCTGTACAGGGACGGGTATAAGTTGCGGCACTTGCCCGAGCTGTGTGAGTTGCACTTGTACGCCATTGAGTCGATCCTGGATCCTCCGTTGGAGCACGAGCTGCTCTTGTTGGATGTCCTGCAATGTGCGCAAGAACTGGTCTTGCTGCAGTAGCAACGATTCCTGGAGTCCCGGATCCTGCGGCCGGGCCTCTAGCGCCTGTTGCACCTGCTGCAATTGCACCTGCACTTGGCTCTGGCGAAATTGGAGCTGTTGTTGATCAAGCTGCTCGGGGAATATTTCCGTGAGGAAAGGCCGTTGCTGCTGCGATTGTTGAGTCTGAACCATTACCGCGGTCAGCAGCAACGGCAACAGCTTCGGTGAGAGCACGATCAGGATTCGCGTCATGATGCGGTTCGAATGTGCGGACGTCTACTGACTGAACCACCGTCGCGTCGTCGGCTCCGTACAAAGATGAGCATGAAGTTCACGTGGGTTGAGATCGCCCAAGGTCATCCGTTTGCGTGTGATTGTGCGAGTATATGATATAGTACGTATGATACCTTTCCGTTATGCGTCATCTTTCTTTTTTTGCCAAAATTTTTCCAGTAAGTAACGGATAACCATTTGTGTCACTGTCATTTTAAGAATATATCCTGATCAAATTTACGAATACAATTTGTATTGCAAAGAACTGTGGAGAACCTTGAGTTGATATTACATCGATTCGCAGTTATTATCCACAGTATGTACGAATATGATTTTGTCGATATAATTTACCTTTATTACTTCCATATGATGCATGATATATTTCTCCCAGTGGCTTATTTAGTGGAGGGGGCAAATTTTTGAGGATATCAAAAAATTATAGCTTTTGGTGATATGTTCATGGTTTTTTAAAATTTTTATTAATATTTCGGTATTGATGTATTTTTAAATTAAGTATCTATAAATATTGTATTTTAAAAAATATTTTTGAGACAAGGTGGATCTGTTTATACCTATACAACTGGTTGATATAGAAGTAGGGCATCCTATAGACATCAATAAGTTGGGAGGCATCGGTAGTTTGGTAAATAAATGGTTTTATAATATTACTATGTTTACCTTCATTATAAAACTATAACATACGAGTATAAACATTTGGGAAAAATTAACAATTTGAAATGCCTATAAACAGCACAAATTTCATTAAAAATGTTGAAACTTCTTTAAAATTATATTATCAGTACGCAGTTAATTTCTTGAATCACTACGATTAATATTTATTAAATTACCATTAAATATGAATTTTTAACAATAAAAATATTGTATTTTCTTGATTTATGTCGAATTTTATCAAAATTTTATTATCAAACACTCATATGTATAATATTTTTCTAAATTAATCATTTACAGATATATATATATATATATACGCTTAAGGAACTTTGCATTATACTTCCAAGATTGTCTAATCAAAATAATTTTATCGACATTGTATGAAAAAAATTATATTGCCCTGGAAAACGTCTATTTTGAATGCGTTACTGATTCTCCCAATTTGATGATTAATATAGCGAAATCAAAACTTAAAAATTTTTCTTTCAACAATGCTTTTGAAAGTTATTTGAAATAGTTTAAACTTATCTCCAAAGTAGGTATTAGTTATCAAACCAAATAAATGAAAGACAATACATTTTTTTTTGTATCAAACGATAATGTCTACTAACAAAATAACCTACCTATACAATTATTTTTTATTGTAAACATTCATTTTTTCACTTAATATTCAAATAAATGAATAAAGAATAATTTAGGTACACAAATATTTATTGTACTTGGTGTTTGTTACTATATGATAAAAAAAAATTAAGAATTAAGCGAAATGGATAACGTCTAGTATAAACACTATTATTATATAATAATTAACTAACATTTCTTGGTTACCTATCTCAAAAAACATTTTTATTTAGTTTTATGATATAATTTAGTAATAATGTAACAAAAAAAATTCTCATTCCATTAAATTTGAATAGCTTTTTTAATTACTATATACTGTTGAGCACAACATTTTATTTATTTTTAAACGAAATCAAGAATAATATTTTGCTACAAATAATGCTATGTAGCAGGAATGGACAGCAAGAAGAGATTGCGAGCCGTCCAATATGTTAATAAATTTGAAAGATTTGAAATGAAAAAAAAAGTCATATTAGTACAGTAGAACCTCGATTATCCGAACTATAATTAGCGTATCTGAACATGAAAACTCGTATCCGGCCGGTTTATTGAATTTATCAAATTATCATCAATCATTAGTCAATCATTAGTATATGACCAAAACGCAACGGGCTTATCAAACGTCGTCCTCGTGTTTAACTTGTCAGATTAGTTCGGCTCTCTACCGCACACACATCGTTATACATAACGACAAATATATTACGATTGTCAAGTATCTAAAATGTCTAATAAACGTAAACGTTATCTTACGATGGAACAAAAAATATAAATTCTTGCTAAACTGGACAAAGGTGAGACTAGCGTATCTTTAGCCCGTATTTTTTATATAGGTAAAGCAACAGTTACAGATATTAAAAACAACCGTCATGCTATCATTGATTTTGCGTCAAAGATAGATAGTGGTGATGGAATAAAAAGAAAGAAAGTTATGAAAGCCGCAAAATCTTGACAAAGCAATGGAAATGTGGTTTATACAAAAACGAAGCTTAAATGAACTAATTTCTGGACCATATTTGAAAAAGCTCTCGAGATGAATACAAAACTTAAGAGCCCTGAAGATTTTAAGGTCAGCTGTGGCTGGCTTCATAAATTCAAATCTCGACATGGAATACGTGAGTTACAAATTCAAGGTGAATAATTATCAGCCGATTCAAGTAGCGCTGAATATTTTAAACAAACATTCCAATTATTTATGGTAAAAGAAGGATATTCTCAAGATTCCATTTACAATGCCGATGAAAGTGGCTTACTCTGGAAAGCACTACCAAGAAAATCACTTGCTTCTTGTCAAGAACATGCAGCACGTGGTCTTATGGTATCGAAAGAAAGAGTAACAATTATGACTTGTGCTAATGCTGCTGGGACCCATAAATTGCTATTACTACTCATAGGAAAATCAAAGAAACCACGGTGTTTCAAGAACATCAAAAGTTTACCGGTAACGTATACAGCTCAAAAAAATGCTTGGATTGACTCTAAATTATTTCTTAATTGGTTTGAAAATGATTTCATATAAAATGTAAAAAAATGGCGTCAGGATCATCACAAGATAGGTAAAGTATTATTCCCTTACTAGACAATGCACCCACTCACCCATCCGCCGAAGTATTAAATTTAATTGATCCAGATTATCGAGTCATGTTTTTTCCACCAAACGTAATATCTTTGATTCAGTCCATGGATCAGGGAGTAATCGAAAATTTCAAAAGAATGTACCAAAAACAAATGTTGAGGAGACTTTTATTAAATGAAGGCACTGAAGAGAGTGTTGTTGCATTTTCAAAATTATTGAATTTGAAACACTGCTGTTACATGACAGCAGATGCCTGGGATAATTTGACTGAGGAAAATTTACAAAATGTTTGGAAGCAGTTTTGGGTTGCTTCTATGAAGTTAGAAGTCGAAGAAGAAACTGTCTAAATAATCTTGATGATTTTGTTGATTTATTTAATGAAATTCCAGGATTTAATGACTGTAATTATTATGACGCTGTTAATTGGTTAGCAACTGATGTAAATGATCTAGGATATCAAATATTAGATAGCGATGAAATCATTTCTTCGTTTCAAAATGAAGAAAATGACGATAGTAGTGATAAAAGTATGGGTACACTAAAAGGACCAACATCTGCTGAAGCATTTGCTGCTTTTGAAATTGGTCTTGAGTGGTTTGAAAAATAAGCCGAATGTTGTCCAACACAATTACTTCTACTTAAACATTTGCGAGACTTGGCTGCAGAAAAGTGCGTTGCAGCTCATCGTCAAATTAAAATTGATAATTTTGTCAAAAAAATATAATAAATAAAATATGTAAATGCAATGTATTTCTAATAATGTATGTAATGTATTTCTAACAATGTATGTATGTACCTAATGTATTTTTAATAATGTAATGTACTCGTATTTCTGATAATGTAATGTATGTAATTCTAATGAAATATTAATAATAATAATAAATATTTAATTATAAAAATAATAAATAATACATTATATTATAAAAAAATTTTATTTTATATTTCCAATATCTGAACTTTTGTATATCCGAACTAGGTGTGATCCCAATTAGTTCGGATAATCGAGGTTCTACTGTATATATACAGGCGTTGATATAAAGGGGCTATAGGGGTTGTATTTCTCTCACCTTTGACCTTAGGTAGAACCATAACGGACGTAAGTACTTGAAGTATTTAAAAAATTAGATATGAGACTTGGTACAAATCGACACGCGCAACGAATTATAGTAGTAACTCACTTTACTAGCCCCCCTTTTTTCATTTTTAGATCAGCACCTGTATATATATTTATATGTGTGCGTGTAAAATATGAGCCCGTTAATAAATATCCCCAAATTAATCTTTACGTTCAAAAGTTAATTATTAAGTATCTTATAAAAAAATATATATGTATCTTATGATAAGACGCGAATCATGTGAGTAGTTACAAAACAACAGTTTTGGCCACCCCTGCTATCAGTGACGTATTTAAGGGGGGGAAGTGGGTACCATCGCCCTGGGCGGCACATTTTTTTCGAATTAAAGGGTGGCAGTATTTTTTTTGTACCCATAATCCATCAACTATTTCCATTCGTCAATCGAAAAATTTTAATATTTTAAGATTTTGCAAAGTGACCACATGGCAATTTTTATTTTCATGATAATATTATTAAAAGTTGATCACGTAAAACTCATAGATAATAAATATTACTTTCTTTGAAAATCATTTAACACATGTGTTGGGAAGGCAATAAAACTGTACTTGGGGTGTCAAAACTCTAAATACGACTGCTTACTATATAGGTAGGTACACTCGGTATTAAATACCATAACGCACTCGTATGACAAGATAATTCATACAATATGGAGTATATGTGTTACGGGAAATATGGAATACTGGGCAATGTACACATTGCTCGGGAAATTTAGTGCTGTTCGGGCAATTTGAACCTCCAATAGAAATATGAATAATACTTATTACTATAACTGTACAATGTTTTACTAATAAATTACCTATATTACGATATTTTTATTATAATACAGAACAAAATATAAATTAATAGTTTTATATTTCTTACTCTATATTTATATTCTTCTATCTTATATCTATTGTTTTCCCATATTAAATTGATAAAGGTAATACAGCTATGTCCATACAATCAGACAACAATATATGATTAATAATTTATATTTACGATTAACCAGTAGAGTTTTCGTGCTTTTCAATCAAATTTGTACTTTTTAATTATTTATTTATATTTGAGGATCAATTTGCCAGGGCAGAACCAAATTGTCCTAGCAATGTATACAATACTCTGTATTCCATATTAGGTACCTGTAATATATATATATATATATATATATATATATATATATATATACGTTACATATACATATATATATAATAAATATCAGTCATTATTTATAATTATTATCAATGGCACTATAATTAGTTAATCTAGACATCTAGTATGTAGTACTAAAATACATAGTAGGTATTCCGTATTCACATTTATGAAATGATGTACCTACATTATTTATAATTCACACATGAAGCTACAAAGAATATATTTCTTTATTTAACTCTTAGTGTTTCCGTGTCTGTCGCAGGGACGTACTTAGATATTTTTTTTTTTGGGGTTGGGTTGTGATATTTTCTCTAACTGAAATTCCCCAATTCACAATTCAGCCTATTAAAAACAAAATTTGGAAAATTAATATACAACATTTACCTATAATAGCGAAAACAAGTAACAACTATACGACTAAAACCGATCACCATGATAGTGTTACTGGTCGTATATAAGGTAGGATAACTGCGTTTGAAATTAATCATCCATTCATTTCTGGGGGGGGGGATTGAACCCCCAACCCCTCCCTGCGTCCGCCACTGAATGTGTCCAAAATGAATGGTGCTTGTGTCAAATGTCATATCGGACGTATTCATTCATTTACTATACATTTAACACAATATTCATCAGGCGCTTCGGACGATCGCATCAAATTGACTTTGGACATGCATACGTTTGCGTAATAATGTGCGGTGAGTATTATACAAAAACCGATACATCGGACGTAATTTGTATTTACGTTGGACACGCTCAAAGACAAAATATGAAAAATGAAAAATATTTATACTATTATTAAAGTCCGTCGCTAAGGTACAAATAAAACAACGTTACTTAAGGGTGACATAATTTTAAAGAAATTGAAGTGATAAAATTAGAAAAATATCGAAAACAGATAACAATAATTATTTTTATACATCTTTACTATTATGATATTTGCTCTACTAGCTCACTATGACTTCGAATGATTATAATTCCGATTTGTAATACCTCTTATAAAGAGCGATATTACAATTTTCGCTTATTACCAAAAATTTGTAGTTACGGGCCTGCTACTTTGTCGTCCAAATTTCCAATTTTCATTATTACATATAAGCTTAAGGTACCTGTTTGATACCAAATAAGTAGGTATAATTTTAACTGTTATCAAATGAATGTAATACTTATAAAATATATTTAAAAAAATTATATTATTTATACACATACTTAAATTTCAATGTATATATTTTATATTTTCATGCATAAAAGTAAAATCAATATTTTAGAGAGATTTTATAATTCAATGAAAAATTATAAAACTGCAATATTAACAATAAGAATGATAGAAAATTGGAGATTGGTAAATAAAAAAATATTTAAAAAATGTACATCAACACACTAATATTTGAAACCTGCATCTCTGTACGCCAGTGTTTCCAACTCAATACTAGATATGGACTACTTTTGTAAATTTCCAGTTACGGACTAAGACTAATTTTTTTTTAATTTGTCTTTTTGATGATAAAGTAATACTAATTCAAACGTTGGTATTTAATTAATAATATTAAAATAAGATTTTATTTACTATAATTAATTTGTTTTTATTCAAAGTGAAAAATTATTATATTATATTCATATATTCATATTATATTCATATTATATTATTATATTAAAAGTTAAAATTACTTAAATAATAAGATTTATTAGCACTCATTTCTTTGACCAGTTGTGGGATAATTGTAATGATGTTGTTGCACAATAAAGTCACCTATCTTTACTTGGATTCAATCAATTTCTTTATTTTTTATAATTAATAGTGAATTCTTACTCGCATAAATATTTAGTTTAAAAAATTAGTAGAAAACGTAAGGCGGTTTGGCGAATGTTTGGATATCCCATAGCCTTTTTACAAAAATTTACTGATTTTGTTGTACATCGGTAATACGTAGTTGGACCAAAAAGTTCCCGGAATTTATTTATAGAAAAAAAACTATATTTCTTATCAAATATCTGATTATTGGAATTAAAATTAAACATTATTAGCTATCTATAGGTTTAGTCGTTAAAAGTACATTAGTCTCATGTGAGCCGTAGTTGAGTCCATACGAAACTGTGTTTACGCATTTTTTTAAAAAGTCACAATTTGAACAAAGCGCTAACATTAAATTTTGTTTTAAACTTCGAAAAACTGCCGCAGAAACGCTCGAATACTTGAAAACAGTTTATGGCGATGAAGCATTAAAGAAAACAGCCGTTTATGATTGGTTTAAACGGTTCAAAAATGGTCAAGAGTCACTTGAAGACGAAGAGCGGAGTGGCCAGCCGTCAACTTCAAAAAACGATGAAACAATCGAAAAAGTTAAAAATTTGGTGCAATCAGATCGTCGTTTACGCATTTAAGGTATGGCAAATGTATTAGGAATATCGTATGGTTCAGTTCAAAACATTTTAAAAGATGATTTAGGAAGGCGTGTTGTTCAATTTGTGACATTTTAAAAAAATGCGTAAACACAGTTTCGTATGGACTTAATTACGGCTCACATGAGACTAATGTACGTTTAACGACTAAACCTATATATAGCTAATAATGCCTTTTTTTAATTCCAATAATCAGATATTTGATAAGAAATATAGTTTTTTTCTATAAATAAATTCCGGGAACTTTTTGATTCTACTACGTATTAAATATTAAATTAATAATAAATATTTATTGTTAATTAAATGATTCTAAATTAAAAAAATGTGTATTTACTATTTAATTATATATGCAATAATATTTAAAAAAAATTTTTAAATAATTAGAGTAAGGTAAATGAGGGGGGACTGAAAAATTCGTTCCTGGGCCCAAATTTTGAAGTTACGCCACTAATTGTTAATGTGGTTGAGGTTTTTTGTTTTACCAATGTAGCCAAACCTGAACGGACCCAAGCATTTCCACATTAAATCATGTTTTTCATAATAATCACAAATTATTTTCATAACGTCAACCTCCTTTGACGTAGTTTCTAGTATTTGTGATAGTAAATATTTTTATTTTATAGTGATATCTCATCTTACAAACGAACAAATATTAGCATCAAGGGCAGGTAATATCACTCACCAAAGGAGGGACTAATGGAGGTTCAAGAATTTAGTTAGTTGTTTTTTAAATCTATATAAAATTTTAAATTACGAATATGTTTTTGAATCCCTCATAAGAAAGTCATTTTTTTCACGATAGTGACAAATTTTAAATAGTTACATTATCGGTATCAATTTTAATTTGAAACCATTTTAAAAATATAGGTATAGATATATAATTAACAACAAAAATTAGCTATTTATTTATAAAAAAATTTACAAAATAGGTACCATATTCATC